TTCCAATCTGAGTAGTGCTCAATTAGTTCACTTGTGGGACTTTTCCCCTCAATACTCATCACATTTACAGTGACATTTCTTTTCACTTCAGGATCATCTGGAGAAAGAGAGCTTTGTGACATTTTGTCTGGGTTCCTTAGCCACTGAGACTCCTCCTCTTGCAGGAATGCAGGTCCATGTAGCCATCTTTTAGACTTTAGGAAGGATTCAATGTTTAGTCCCCGGGAAGCATCATCGGCCGGATTTCGTTTGGAGTCCACATATCTCCACTGAGTCTCATTTGACATGTCGTGAATAACTGCAATCCGATTAGCTACAAAGGTGTGGAATCGCTTGGTCTGATTGCAGATATATTTAAGTACAGACTGGCTGTCTGTCCAAAAGATGGACTCTTGGAGGTTTAGCTGTAGCGCTGAGCGTAACATCAGATCAATCCTTACAGCCAGGGTGGCTGCTGTAAGCTCCAGTCTGGGTATAGTCATCTTTTTGAGAGGGGTTACTCAAGCCTTTCCCATCACTAAAGCAACATGAACTTCCCCCAAACTGTTGACACATCTGAGATAACTTGCAGTGCCGTATCCTTGCTCACTGGCATCACTAAAGTAGGTTTTTCTGTCCTGTTTTGAGCATAAAAACACTAGCTGAGAGGGAGCAAACCCGAGAGAGGGGGGGTTTTCCCTTGTAAAGCTCTCTCCCGAGAGCTGGGTTTTTCCTGGGTAAGTGCTCTCAAACTTGGTAAGGTTTTTCAAATTGATTTGTTGAATGCTGAGTGAATTGTTGAATGAAAGTTTGAAACTGTTAGATCCCACTGACCATTTATGAGGAACTTTCCCTAAATGTTGTCGGACTCTAGGTGTGAATGATTAGCACCCGCGATTCATGAGGAGATTCCTCTGGGTTGTGTCGGAATTATTACTGATCATTTATGAGGAACTGCCTCTGAATGTTGTCGGACTATAGGTGTGAATGTGTAGCCCTGGCGATTTATGAGGAGATTCCTCTGGATTATGTCGGAAGATTTTGATGTCAAAACTATGAATTAAGGTTCCATATTAGAAAATGACCACAGCATGATATGTTTTGTATGATTGTCATGTTGTAACGAGAGAAGGTAAAACCCTGTACAAGTGTGGACCAATTTTTCTTCAAATAAACTGATCCCACCCTTTGGATTCGGACAACTTAAAAGAAATCTGCTCCCTCCTCTCCTGCTTGAAAGGTAAGAAATGCACATCTGCCAAAACTCACACTTAGGTAGGGCCACATCTCATTACTGATATCAAAAATCCTTCGGGATCGCTTAAACAGATTTAGCGGGTCGTCTGAATTGAAACAGCAGTTAATTGAACCTGGTTCTTCAGGAGTTAGTAGAGGTGAGATCTTGCTGACGTTGGTAGATCTGAGCCAAGCAGTAAACTTACATGGACTCAATAGCTTTTGTTAGGTCAATTAGTAGGTCTGAGTAATTTGCCGGAATAAATTAACAGCCCTCCCGACTCCGACAGATCCTTTTGAGAGCAAAGGTTCCTCTTTGTCACTGGTATCTTTGTTTGTGTGTATGTCTTCTGCAGCTCAATAAAGTTATTCCCATCCAAATCACCCACTTGTAGTCCAGTTATTTCATACAGATGTAGCGTCTTATTTAGGACAGTTTGAAACGCGAGGGTCGTGGTTGGCACGTGCACGGTCCGTGAACGGCCCGTGAAAGGTCAGTGATGAAGAGCCTGCCCCCAGTCTGACTTGATACTGCCCCTGTGATAAATAAATGTAATTATTGTGAAGCCAGCTGCAATGGATCATTGATCCACCAGGGGGTGCAGTGGGGTTCCACACTGGAGCTCATGTGAAATCAACTTCGATACAGTAAGCTGGATGTACAGTATGTCTGGTACTACTGTATAGCGGATCTTTGTTAAGATCCATATGTCACGGATAGGATCATAGTCTGCTAAATAATACATGTAATAATTTACAAAACATCACCATGTTGTTATTTAACAAAATAATGTTGTTTAGTCGAAAAAAACGAACGAGAGGAAATGCAGCCGGCTCTCGATTTTTAATCCTAATTTAATCATCATCTTCACCACGATCATTTATGTTTATGTTCGCCGAATTGACATGAAATCACTGACAAATATGAATATTCTGTATTCAACTTCATTAAAACGATCAGGATCCCTGGGTGTTATTTTTCCCCACAATGACCAAGTCGCTGCAAATTATCCCGCTTATTACATGGCCACATTCTCAACAAAGTAACGATATGACTCCCAATCTTAATTGAAATGCTTTTATGGATTTAGAAAATGTTTTTATTGATTTAAAAAATAGTTGTATGTATTGATTTAAATTGACATGCATCCGCTAAGAGAAATAGTCACTAGACACTTGACACAGTGGCTTTTGGCAAAGCAGAAAAAGAACACTCAAACCGAGAGATGAGTTATTGTTATTACAACGTGACTTCACTATTATTTAACAACTGTTTTTATTGGGTTCTTTTATTTGGGGTTAAGTATAGGTGAATTGCCCTAATGTGGGAAGATCGTGATGTCTCCTCCGATCTGCTTTAAATGCTCTTCTTTCTCCCGCTGTGTAGATTGGGGGACCGCCGTCCTCTGTCTTCAATGTTCGACATCGCGTGAAACAGAGGATTTCGACATTTTGTATTCATTGCTTACTTCCTTAAACCTTTTCTCCTCCTTATCTCTTTCATGACTTTTTATTTAATGCTTTATAACAGCTGTAATAGTTCGTTTAGAAATCCTAGAAACACTTTTACGGCAGTTCTCATTTACGGTAACTCCTTCTGACGTCATAGCTACCCACGTATAATATATAAACAAAGTCTTGGCTTTCAGAATATGAAACTTTTATTTCCAAAATCACACGATAAATACATTTGAGAAGCTTGTAAAGGGAAGATGACAGGCACCTCTCACTCGCAATCTGCTCTTCCGCAGCGCTGCCCACCTCCCTCCGGCTGAAATTATGAATGTACAGTAAGGCATATAGTAATCATAGATAACACGGCAGGGTCTGTTACAGTTTGTTTTCATCTGATTTCAAATAAACAAAGTCTTGGCTTTCAGAATATTAAACTTGTTTCGGCAAATTTAGATGATAAATACAACTATGAAGCTTGTAACGGCATAATTACAAGCGGAGAACGGAGTAATTTAACGTTACAGCAGGCATAACAACAGCCGGTGTTTGTTTTATTATTATATATAGTCGTTATTCATTTGTTTTAAAGCTCAATAAGGAAGATTTAAACTTTCACACACGTTGACCGGCGAAAAACTCTGCCCGGTTCCCTCGGGCCCCACCACGTTGAATAAACAGAAGGCTGCGTTTGTGGAGGAAGTTACAGCGCTACGTACAGGCTCGGCATATGTACTGCAGCTTTTTCCAGCGGTATCCATAAATCTCTTAATTTTGACCTCAAAGTGCACCAGATTGATGCATTTAACTTCAATATAAAGAAAAACATCTTCTGTTGTAACAACAATAACATTATAAATAGTAACATAGCTGAACATGGTATTGCACATTTAGCTTTCAGTGTTACTGACCTGAGATGTTTTTATTACATGAATTAAGGTGACTGAGGCTTTTTAACATAGACTTTTCAGTGTCCCACATACCGTTCACCATCCCCCACCCCCCTACTGTATGTTGATTTTTGACTTTGTTTGCCTACATGTAAATGGGTGGCATTTAGTACCTACCCCCCTCTGAGTGAATATCTGTTGACTTCTCATCTTGTCACAAACTTTTTGGAAGACAAGACTGACCCAAGATACCTTGGTTTGATTTGGAGAAGGCAATGGTTATCGATGGTGCTTTTAAAGCCTATTGTATACTAACTGTGTGATTTATATTGCTTTTCAAATCCATACAGATGGAGCATCTTATTTCAGACTCCAGCATACAGCTTCCTGCCTACTACCAGCCAGTTACCTGCCTAAGACCTGCCAAAGACCAGTATCTGGGAATGTTAAGCCCTCCCACTATTTTCCAAGAGGGCGTTGCCAGATTTTCAATTTCAGGATTTAACCAGGAGATGGCGCTATATATTAAATAACTATGGCCAAACTAAGACTTAGTTTTTCACAAGAGAAAATGCAGATATTATATAAAAAACTAAAGTTAAAATCTTGTTTTTAATGCCCCAAGTGCAATAAAAAATCCTGAGTGAGGCTTTCATAAATTGCATTTAGCTGACGCTTTTATCCAAAGCGACTTACTATTTAATAAATGATAAATGATTATTCATAACAAATATGAGTGATGTGTGATTATTATTCATGCTATATACTGATATAGGGCTAAGTAAGCAATCAATCCTGCAAATTAACCCTTAGTTGTTCAATATATTTATTCAGACAATGTGAGTAGAAATACAGAAATTCTGCTCCCACCTAAGGCCAACGTTGCAATATTACAACATTTCCCTAAAAACTTACCAAAACATAAACATTTTTAAAACTCTTTCATTTCTGCTCCAGAGGCCAGGGGTTAAATTGGGATTTGATATGTGGGGTGGCTCTGTTAGAAGGTGCGACGGGGGAGGGGGGAGAGAGTTAGACGCTTGTGAATTGTCAACGGGGGGGGTTGACATCAGAGCATCGTCCTATGGGCTTAGCCCCGGACAGGTACAACAGGTATTCACTCAAAGGGGGGTAGGTACTGCTGGAAAAAGCTGTGTGTGAAAGTTTAAATCTTCCTTATTGAGCTTTAAAACAAATGAATAACGACTATATATAATAATAAAATAAACACCGGCTGTTGTTATGCCTGCTGTAACGTTAAATTACTCCGTTATCCGCTTAAGTAATTATGCCGTTACAAGCTTCATAGTTGTATTTATCATCTAAATTTGCCGAAACAAGTTTAATATTCTGAAAGCCAAGACTTTGTTTATTTGAAATCAGAAGAAAACAAACTGTAACGGACCCTGCCGTGTTATCTTGATATTTCCGGCACAGACCCTTTCATACCGGCTGTTAAGCTCACCGGTAGCTACAGGAGTGAACTCACAATGCTGAACACAGGACGATGAAACAGAGCTTTTGAGGTAGAAAAAGGTTTATTAACCAAAAACCTTATATAGAGTCAGACGAGGGATTAAATATCCAATAAACCCAAAGCCAGGGTTTGTTAACTGAGGTGGTGCGGATATGCACGGAGATACTCTGGCGAGGAGAGCCGGGGGACCAGAGCTGGTGAGAGTCGACAGGAAGGAGCTGGTGTGCGTGGAAGCACGAAGGCACACTGGCGAGGAAAGCCGCCGATCCAGAGCTGGCGATAGTTGACAGGTTGGAGCCGGTGTGCGTGGAAGCACGGAGATACTCAGACGAGAGGTACGTGGCTGGATGTGGCAGGCAGAGGAGTAGGCAGATGGATTCTGACGGAGAACACAAGGTTAGATTCGGCAGGAACACAGAGAGTTAGTTTTACCATAAACTACATGTACCAAGTCGAATTACCAGCGAGGTGAAACGACGAACTGGTGAATACTGGATGAGAGGACCGGGCATATAAGCAGGTGAAGGTGAGTAGTGTAATCAGGATGATGAGCAGCAGCTGCGAAGGTGAGTTGGCGGGAATCAGAAGTGGGTCAGCCACACCCAGCCAGGGAGACAGACACACAGACAGACAGAACGAACATAACAAACATAAAACAAAGAAGAGAAGAAGGAGGGAGATACTGTAAATCCTCACAGTACCCCCCTCTCCACGGGAGCCTCCTGGCGACCACCAGGCTTGTCAGGGTGTGCTCTGTGGAACTCCCTCACCATGACAGGGTCCATGATGCGTGACCGAGGCACCCAGCAACGTTCCTCCAGGTTGTAACCCTCCCAATCAACCAGGTACTGAAAGCCCCTGCCCCGGCGTCTGACATCCATAAGCTGATGCACAGTGTAGGCAGGATGATCATCGATGACTCGGGGGGGAGGAGGGGGAATGGTTGGAGGGCACAGGTCACTAGTGTGGACTGGCTTGATCTGGGAAACATGAAAGGTTGGATGAACCTTCATGGATCTGGGGAGTCTCAAGCGGACAGCAGAGGGGTTAATAATGCGCTCAATGAGGAAAGGCCCAAGGAACCGAGGGGACAGTTTCTTTGACTCGGTGAGGAGTGAGATATTTTTGGAAGACAACCAAACTGATTGTCCAGGGGTGTAATGGGGAGCGGCATGTCTGTGACGGTTAGCTGACCGTTGATTCCTGGTAGAAGTCCGGAGGAGTTCTGAGCGAGTGTCCCTCCAAATCTTACGGCACCGTTGAATGTGATGCTGGACAGAAGGAACTGCCAACTCACTCTCCTCCTCAGGAAACAGGGGAGGTTGGTACCCTAAGGAGGCTTCAAAAGGAGAGAGAGCAGTTGCAGAAGACGTGAGTGAATTAAAGGAATACTCCACCCAGGGTAGAAGGGAGCTCCAGGTAGATTGATTGCGATTGGCAACACAGCGGAGAGTAGATTCCAGGTCTTGATTGGCCCTTTCAGTTTGACCGTTTGACTGGGGATGATAACCAGAAGTTAGACTGACCGATGCACCAAGTGAATGACAGAAATTCTTCCAAACCAGAGAGATGAACTGAGGTCCACGGTCGGAGACGATGTCAGCCGGGATTCCATGCAGGCGGAAAACATGCTGGGTGAGAAGTTGACCGGTCTCCAGGGCTGAGGGAAGCTTGGGCAGAGCTACAAAATGGGCACATTTGGAGAAACGGTCTACAACTGTTAGAATAGTTGTGTTTCCTTGTGAGGGAGGTAGGCCGGTGACAAAATCTAGTGCAATATGAGACCAAGGTCGACTTGGGATAGGAAGGGGCTGGAGCAATCCTGCAGGTCTCTGATGAGAGGCCTTGCTCCTAGCACATGTAGTGCAGGCTGAAACAAACTCCTTAGTGTCCTTGTCAACTGTTGGCCACCAGAAATGTCTCCGGAGAAGAGAGAGTGTGCGGTTGGCACCAGGATGATTAGCGAAAAGGGAGCTGTGGACCCACTGCAGGACTTGAGAACGGACAGAGTTGGGGACAAACTGACGGTTTGGCGGACCACAACCAGGGTCCGGTTGCTCCAATAGCGCCTCCTGGATGGAGTTACTGATCTCCCAGGTGAGGCCACCCACAACACAGCTCAGGGGAAGAATAGAGTCAAAAGACGTGACTGGTCCCTCAGACAAAAACGACCTGGACAGGGCGTCGGGTTTAGTATTCTTGGAACCAGGACGATAAGTTAGAGAGAAGTTGAAACGACCAAAGAAGAGGGCCCACCTGGCCTGTCGGGAGTTTAGCCGTTTAGCAGACTGAATGTACTCCAGGTTCTTGTGGTCAGTCCAAACCAGGAATGGCTGCTCGCTGCCCTCGAGCCAGTGTCGCCACTCCTCCAACGCCATCTTCACTGCCAGCAGCTCTCTGTTGCCCACATCATAATTTCTCTCAGCTGGGGAAAGACGGCGAGAGAAGAAAGCACATGGGTGAAGCTTATTGTCTGGCCCTGCCGTCTGAGACAAAACAGCGCCAACCCCGATGTCAGATGCATCTACCTCCACCACAAACTGCTTGCTGGAGTCCGGCTGGATGAGTATGGGGGCAGATGTGAACAAGGATTTGAGGAGAAGAAATGCCTTGTTAGCATCAGTAGTCCAGGTAAACTTGATCTTGACAGAAGTGAGACTGGAGAGTGGAGCTGCTACCCTTGCTATAGTTCCTGATGAACCGGCGATAGAAGTTAGCAAAACCCAGGAACCTCTGCAGCTCCTTCCTAGTAGTGGGGACTGGCCACTCGGAGACAGCTAGGATCTTTCCTGGATCAGCCTCCAACTTGCCCTGCCTGATGATATATCCCAGGAAGCTGACCCGCTCCTGGTGAAACTCGCACTTCTCAGCCTTGACGAACAGCTTGTTCTCAAGCAGCCTTTGCAGCACCTGACTGACGTGGTCCTGATGTTCCTCCAGACTCGTGGAAAAAATCAAGATGTCGTCAATGTAAACGAACACGAATCGGTTAAGGAAGTCTCGTAGGACATCGTTAACCAGGGCCTGGAAAACAGCGGGGGCATTAGAGAGTCCAAAGGGCATGACAAGATATTCGAAGTGACCAAGGGGGGTGTTGAAAGCTGTCTTCCACTCATCTCCTTGGCGAATTCGAACAAGGTGGTAGGCATTCCTGAGGTCGAGCTTGGAGAAGATGGTGGCACCTTGGAGAGGTTCAAAGGCTGAGTTTATCAGGGGAAGTGGGTACTTGTTTTTAACTGTAATGTTATTTAGCCCACGAAAGTCAATACAGGGTCGGAGAGACTTATCCTTTTTGTCCACGAAGAAAAACCCAGCACCCAGAGGAGAGGAAGAAGGACGAATTATCCCAGAAGCAAGAGAGTCACCGATGTATCTCTCCATGGACTCTCTTTCAGGCCGAGACAGATTATAAAGCCTGCTGGTGGGTAAAGGAGCTCCAGGCAGCAGATTGATGGGACAATCATAGGGACGATGAGGAGGGAGAGAGAGAGCTTTCTCCTTGTTGAAGACCCCACTCAGGCTGTGATAAACTTCAGGAACACCAGACAAGTCAACTTCAGCAGAGACACAAGGAGCAGACTTAGGTTCGACAGGGACGGGAGGCACAGCAGACTGTAAACAGTGAAGGTGGCACGACTGGCTCCATTCCATGATTCTTCCTCCGGCCCAATCAATATGTGGATTGTGGGTGCGAAGCCATGGGTATCCAAGAACCAAAGGGGTTGCTGGTGAGGAAATAACCTTCAGTTGAATCTCCTCTCTGTGATTACCAGAAATAAACAAGGTTAAAGGTTGTGTCTGCTGTGTAACCTTAGAAATGCTTTTCCCATTTAAAGCATATGCTGTCAGAGGTTCTGTTAGAGCTTCCAAATGTAACCCCAGCTGTTTGGCTAGTTCACCGTCCACAAAGCTATCCTCAGCTCCAGAGTCAACGAGAGCAGAAAGGGGCAATGTCTGAGCGTTGAAACAAAGTCTAGCAGGAATCAAAAAACGGCTCAAAATTGGGGCTACAATAGGTGTAGGAAGCGAACTCGTCAGGACCCCCAACTTCACTGACGAGCCCTTGCGTTTGGGCGAACAGGACAGCCAGAGAGGATATGGCCACCCTTTCCACAGTACAGGCATTCTCCACACCTAATACGTCGAAGGCGCTCCTCAGGGGATAATCCAGTGCGTCCCAACTGCATAGGTTCCACCATAGCAGAAGTGGGCACGCGGGTTGGTGAGGTGAAGCCAGATGGTCCGGACACAGAGGGAGCAAACCTGGGAGAACTGTTTGGCTGATAAGGCAAAGCAAAAGGAGGACGCTGCGTGCGCTCCGCACGGCGCTCCCGCAGCCGGCTGTCGAGACGAGAAACCCAGGAGATTAAGGATTGGAGGTCAGCAGGCTCCTCTCTTGCAGCCAGCTCATCCTTCAGTTGATCCCTCAATCCCCTAACAAACACAGCCCTTAAAGCCGCCTCGTCCCATCGGGCTTCTGCCGCCAGTGTGCGAAACTCGATAGAATAATCTGCAATGGTTCGAGTTCCTTGTTGCAGATTCAACAGACGATTAGCAGCTGAGCCAGAGTGTTCAGGATGATCAAAAACAGAGGAAAAATGATCCGAAAAAACTCCAAAGGAAAGTGTATTGTAATCCACAGAAGAACTCAATGCTTCGGCCCAGGTTAAAGCTCTTCCACGAAGCAAACTCAACATATAGTTAATCTTAGTTCCATCAGAGGAAAAAGACACGGGGCGCTGGCGAAATACCTTATTGCATTGAAAGAGAAATCCTCTGCATTTCTCCACCTCTCCGTGGAAAGGCTCAGGATCGGCAATGGGGAAGTCCCGGCATGGAGTGGAATCCACAGGTGGATAGGAGGAGGCAGGAAGTGTACCAGAAGACGTCAAAGCAGAGACCTGAGCAGCAAGGTTTGAGACGTTTAGAGCCATGGATTGATTGCTCTCCACTAAGGCTCGAATCATCTGCTCATGATGGCCCAGAAGATTTCCCTGATGGGAAATGGCGTGCTGGACTGAGGCGGGATCCGATCCGGCGTCAGCGGAGCTCATAGTGACCAGTTCGTACTGTTAAGCTCACCGGTAGCTACAGGAGTGAACTCACAATGCTGAACACAGGACGATGAAACAGAGCTTTTGAGGTAGAAAAAGGTTTATTAACCAAAAACCTTATATAGAGTCAGACGAGGGATTAAATATCCAATAAACCCAAAGCCAGGGTTTGTTAACTGAGGTGGTGCGGATATGCACGGAGATACTCTGGCGAGGAGAGCCGGGGGACCAGAGCTGGTGAGAGTCGACAGGAAGGAGCTGGTGTGCGTGGAAGCACGAAGGCACACTGGCGAGGAAAGCCGCCGATCCAGAGCTGGCGATAGTTGACAGGTTGGAGCCGGTGTGCGTGGAAGCACGGAGATACTCAGACGAGAGGTACGTGGCTGGATGTGGCAGGCAGAGGAGTAGGCAGATGGATTCTGACGGAGAACACAAGGTTAGATTCGGCAGGAACACAGAGAGTTAGTTTTACCATAAACTACATGTACCAAGTCGAATTACCAGCGAGGTGAAACGACGAACTGGTGAATACTGGATGAGAGGACCGGGCATATAAGCAGGTGAAGGTGAGTAGTGTAATCAGGATGATGAGCAGCAGCTGCGAAGGTGAGTTGGCGGGAATCAGAAGTGGGTCAGCCACACCCAGCCAGGGAGACAGACACACAGACAGACAGAACGAACATAACAAACATAAAACAAAGAAGAGAAGAAGGAGGGAGATACTGTAAATCCTCACACCGGCAATGCGCGATAGAAACAACAGGAACTGCGACAGCATGAATATGCGAACACAAACCTACAGACTGCTGGAGAAGAGATAT